TTGCTTGGTTTTCAAGTCCTGCTCCGGAAACCAAAACCTGACAGAGGGACAGACAGGCCAGATGATGACTATTAATCCCCTTACATAATATATGCTGGGGGATAAAAATCATCATGAGGATTTTTTTTCATTTCATTCTCATTGTTTCTATCAATAATATGGTGAGGCTTTGATGTTAAATTGTGATATTTTTACGTGTCATCAGTGTGTTGCCTTTGGGCCATGAACAATTGCCATACAGTGATAGTTAATCAATTGTTACCCCCCTTCTCCATTGAATAAAGAATTAAAAATAAATTAATATTGAAATTACATATTGCATCTTTCACTACATATTCATGAAGACACCTCCTCGACTATACGGTTGTGTTTCACAATTAGCAAGAGCATCAAATTAGAATTAGAAAACAGAAGCTTAGTACGGAAACTGCCACAATGGGGACCCAAATACTGCCGTTGATCCGCACTTTTAGCAATATTCCAGCAATATCAGGGTGGGGGTCACCAGAAATGGGCTTAACACACTGTACCCATGTGGGGAACCGAACCCGGGTCTTCAGCATAATGAACGCTTTAATTACCAGGCGGCCCCACTGCCCTAACAAGCCGAGGATGTGATTGAAAGGGACATGATTAAATAACCAATATCGATTTCTATATTTCAATATGTACTTGTCACTTTGAAAACAAAACAAATGTGTTTCGTCCAAAAAGAAATATACATGATACCATTCATAAACTTGGTACTGTATATGGAAATATATGATTGGTGGTGTTTAATTATTTTCAAGGTGAATATATTTGGTACTGTGTAATGTACGTCCAAATGGATGGACATTGCATGGGTGCTAGGAGTCTTAAAAATATAGGTTTCTAATAGTACCGTATTCGACGTAATAAGCGCCCTGCTCTAATAAGCGCCCACGGCGATATTTGCTAATATATTGGCAAGTGAACAGTCCCAATTAGCACCCCTTCCGATTGATCAGTGTACACAAGACTTATTTAGTTGTGCATAATACGCACTGGTGTGTTATATGCAGGGGTCCGGAAACCGTCATATGCGCCGGACATGTCTGATTGGGAATCTCAAATGTCCGGTTTAAAATATTGCTTACCGGACATTTAAATTTTTCTGTCCGGACATTTTAAAAAGTATTGTCCGGACATTCTTAAATTTTGACCGGACATGATCAACAGTTAGGACTGAGCAGTTTCTGTCTGCAGTTGTAACACAATGAAGATTATTTACACTGACAAGCTTTGTTTGTTTGATTGCTGTAAATACATCATACCTACATGATAGTCCAATCGGTCAATCACTGTAATAGGCAATAAACTGAGTTGACACTGATTAATCGAGGATTAATTACTGAGAACATCTTGTTAATTTGAGTGAAAGGTGTTTACAACTGTACATAAATACCTTGCATCATCGATGTACCTCATTATCCTCACAATGCTACGATACGTAACCTCAGACAAGTAGCGAAAGCGTGCCGACAGCCAGTCGACCGATGCAGATCAGTCGAGCGGATCTGCCAAACCCTCAAAGTCTGGACGATCATTTGTAAGTTGTGGCTAACGACTTTCACTTGGTTGACATTCAATGAGGATTTGCAGATTTTATTGTTTTCAGTAGCTAGTCGTATATTGAATCTTGATTGACCGCCATTTTGCTTTCTGTGACGATCGATATCATTTTTTTATGGTCAATAATTAAGTACAGATGAAAAAAGTATTCAAATAACTATTCCTATCAATGATATTTTAGTATTTGTGATTTTATTATCTGTCTTGTTTTTAAATAATCTTTAGTTTAAAAAAAAAACTTTTCCCGTGAGGTCACGTGATAACCAAATATGGTATAATAGTCTCGATCCAAATGTTACAACGCGTACACTTGAGCAGACTCATGAATATAACTCATGAATATTAATTAGACCATTCACTACGTTAACAGTTCGTTATTATAACAGAAACAAACGTATGTTTTCCATGTATATCTAAAATGATATTATTTGTTATTAATTGTCCGGTGAATTAACAATTTAAATTGAAACAATTCATAATTCATCATATTATCAATACGTAACAACTTGTAATGTGTGTGAAAAGTTGTCCTAAAATACACTATTTGAAGGGGGCGTGGCCTAAATGCAAATGTCCGATTGGGATTTTAAATTTTCCGGACCCCTGGTTATATGCACCATTAATTATGGGCATTTAAATTATGGAAAATATATCTGTCGTGTATAATCGGACAGACTTTTCTTTTGTATCATATTAGGCTGTCAGCATAAACCACAATATTAACGATCTTTCAACTCCGTTTTTCTTTCTTTACAAAACTAAATTTTAATAAGAGCCCCCTTTTTCTAATTTTGAGAGCACCCTGGGTGTTTATTATGTCGAATACGGTATTACATTTATATAATATTGTCAGTTATGTCTGTGACATTAACACAGGAAGCTGCAAACATCACATACACCTGTTGTGGTATTTTACAGTCTGGAATGGTCAAATTCATTTCTTTTCTGGACAGATCCCTAGGTCCTGCTTTCATTCCATGTGTGTAATAATTAAATAATTAACAACGCCAAACAATGTACAAATAAATTATAAAGGACAATATATGCATGGACCTTCTAATATACTGATGAAGCTTTGATATTGTATAGGTAACATAGCTCTGCACTGATAACACTGGGATGCTACCATGCTACCATGAGGAAAACAGAGCCCAAGGCTCTGCAGCTCACCTGCCTGTGTCTGAAACAGATGTACTGGGATAGAAATGTGTATTTCTTTTTTAGTGGGACATTCAGTCTTGACATTGAATATGTTGAATGGCATTTCATCAAGTCTAGATAATAAACACATGTAATTTTAATTGGTAGGCCCCTTCCTTTTAATTGAGATTGATAAGACCCCATAGCTGACTCATTTTGATGAAAAGCATGGGTACTGGGCCCTAGTCTGATCTCACAACAAGTATTAGTACTGTGGCCTCGTCTGATCTTACAAGTATCAGTACTGGGGCTTAGTCTAATCTGACAACAAGCATTAGTACTGGGTACTTGTCTGATCTGACAACAAGAATGAGTACTGGGGTTCAGTCTGATCTGATAAGCATTTGTACTGAGTCCTTGTCTGATCGGAGAACAAGTATTAGTACTGGGGTTCAATCTGTTCTGACAACAAGTATTAGTACTGGGGTTTAATCTGTTCTGACAACAAGTATTAGTACTGGGGTTCAGTCTGATCTGACAACTATAAGTACTGTGGCTCAGTCTGATCTGAAAACAAGTATTAGTACTGCGGTTCAGTCTGATATGACAGCAAGTATTAGTATACTCGGACCCCGTGGTACCGCGGCATTCATCGTATCGCGGCATTTGTGATTTCCGGTAGTTCACGCGGGACACACCTCTTAGCGGGTGTCTATTAATGCTAATCAATAACCAGGAAGTGCTCACTTCGTAAACAATTTCAATTTCAATTTCCTCGGAATGTTCCGTCTGCTGTAAGTAAGGAGTTATTAATGCAATGATACTTACTTCTGGCATCTTTTTTAAAATTGCCTTACCCCCATCTATCAATGGCCAACGATATAACCCGCAGTTCCCCAGGTAAACTTTCTCTATCGACCTGAACTAGATCATCTGCATATTCATGGCGAGTAATAAGGTAACGGAAGTTACATAGCCTGCACATTTTTTCCTGCTCTGTGCCAAGAATCTATTGGGAGATCATAAGGGCCATAATGCCAAACTTAGAAATACGTTCTTCACTAGAAGCCAAAAGATAAATACATACTTTGGGCATACTAGGAGTGCTTTTCATAGATTTATTGTTGACTTTTAACATTTTTCCATTTTATGACAAATTATTGTCATCCAATGTTTTTTTTGAAAAAAATCTAAGAATATATCTCTTCTGATATTTTGTTGTTGATTTTTTAAATATTTTTCTCTTACTTTTCGGTAAATATGCATTGAATACCTATTACTGATAACACATTTAGAATTTTACTTGTGCTGCCTTTGCACTTGTCAGGACAAATCACTGATATCTGGCATGATCATACTAAGTGGTTGGCAGAATTATGTCCTCCTTTTGTCCAATTCGGAGCTCCATACACAACTTTTCTCTGTACAGCGATATGATGGAGTTCTCTCCCTTGTCAAACTGATCGTGAGGCCCGGCTTTTGCTCGGAGCAACTAATGTAAATAATGAATTTTTATCAGTAAAATATACATTGTTAGATAAAATAAATGACATCTGATAAAGAGAAAATGAATAATCAGTGAGCGCATTTTGTTCCGTTTAGCGTGCATGACCGCGATACCCCGAGGTTGCAGGCTACTGGGCTCAGTCTGCATCTGACAAGTACTAGTATTGAGGGTCCAGTCTGATCTGACAAGTATTAGTATTGGGGTTCTGTCTGATCTAACAAGTATTAGTACTGGGGTTTAGTCTGATATGACAAGTATTAGTATTGGGGTCTAGTCAGATCTGACAAGTATTAGTACTGGGGTTCTGTCTGATCTGACAAGTATTAGTCTTGGGGTTCAGTCTGATCTGACAAGTATTAGTACTGGGATTTAGTCTGATATGACAAGTATTAGTATTGGGGTCTAGTCAGATCTGACAAGTATTAGTACTGGGGTTCAGTCTGATCTGACAAGTATTAGTACTGGGGTCTAGTCTGATCTGGCAAGTATTAGTATTGAGGGTCTAGTCCGATCTGACAAGTATTAGTACTGGGATTTAGTCTGATATGACAAGTATTAGTATTGGGGTCTAATCAGATCTGACAAGTATTAGTACTGGGGTTCTGTCTGATCTGACAAGTATTAGTACTGGGGTTCAGTCCGATCTGACAAGTATTAGTACTAGGGCTCAGTCCGATCTGACAAGTATTAGTACTTGGCCTCGTCTGATCTGCCAAGTATTAGTATTGAGGGTCTAGACCGATCTGACAACAAGTCTTACCTAATGAAGGCCAGGAGCACAATGAGGATGAGGCTGACAAGCCAGCCGGCCTGCTGGAAGGCAGCAGGCATAGTGAGGGCACCTGTTCCCACTATCAGGTTGAATATGTACACCAGGCCCACCTGAAAGTCACAAGAAGTCTGCCAAGGAAGGAAAGTACAGGTCCCACAGCTGTTTTACAAGTGGCCATATAGCAAGATGAGCACATTGAATTCTTCACAATTTTTCAAGTTATTAACATAGATCATGAGACCTGTAATTAGGGCCCTTTGTAACCAACTCTAAAGTTACAGATTTATAAAAACATATTTCAAAAATATTATGGAACATGTTCAAATGGCAGACAAGTCTTTTTGTCTTTCTGCTAGTTTCAATCTTCTAACACATACTTTAAGGACATAAGTATGTTTAAATAAAAGAAAAGGATTTTTTGAAATTCAAGACATTTTGTTTGTTTGTTTGTTGTTTAACGCCACACTCAGCAATATTCCAGCTATATGATGGCGGTCTGTAAATAATCGAGTCTGGACAAGACAATCCAGTGATTGACAGAAATTCAAGAGAAAGCAAACAATCAGCAAATCTGTTACCCAAAAAGTATTTTTGACCATAATTAATACTGTCTTCAACTAAACAGAGCTCCAGAAATGCTGCATATTTTGGTAAATTAAGCAAAATAGATAACCATTACCCCATTGGTTTCTACATACAAATATCCAAGAAAATGTTCCAAAACCCCTAAGTATAAGCACACTGTGTCATTACCCACAGTTGCCTTTTCCACTTGTGTACCTGTATTGTTTACAGACCTTTAGCTACTCAGTGTTAATCCGACATGTATATCACTGGAGTGAGTTTATGTGACCTAAGTTACACACTGGGGCAGAACATGGACAGAGACAGATTAGAAGTCACCTGTAACAGCACCAGCGGTAGAAATTGGCAGTCTTGTAGTACTTTCAAAACTGCCCAGTAGGTAAGGTATCATAAGGACCAGAAGAAATTTGCCACTTTTAAGGTTTCTACTATATATTATCATTATAAGGTTTGTGGACTAAAAACGTTAGTTTCTACCACTGAGCATTCTGAGCAGGGTTAAGACAAATGTTAACTCATTTGTGTAATTATACCGAGTAGGCTGGTCCCAAGAGACCAAACGTTTACTGAATAATCAGAGCAAACTGTTAATAGTCAAAGTGCATGATTACTTGTGAGTAAAAATACTCCATGCCTCAAAAATTATCTCGAGCCCTGTCGAAATCGTCTTTGTAAATAACAGTGACAAACCCTTTCCATATTCATAAGAAATCTCTGGTAAAAGCGGACTTGGTTGTATCATGTGCATGTGTTTCTGAACCACTATCACCAAAGGCTGGAGCTGCTGGAATATTGCTCGGCATAAAGGGAAAGTTGAAGTCATCCTTCTTGTCACCCCTCTTGTCATACAGTCTTGTGGAGAACTTTTCGTTGCTCTGAATATTTATGCATAGATCTAAATATGAAACAGACGAGGCATCTCACTGGTCTCCTTAATCTCTAGTTCAGGTGCCGTTGTACAAAACAACCTTTGTTCTTAGACTGTCGTAAATCTATGTTAAGGTATGGGAGTAACGACAACCTTAGCACTAAGATAGCTCTGTACAACAGCATCCTGGCAAGTAAATAAGTGGGGTGAGTGAGTTGTGTTTAATGCTGCTTTTAAAGGGCAAGTTCACATGGAAATGAACCTATTTTTCTTGTACTTTTTCCACATTAAAAGTGTTAACCTAGAAGTGTCATAGACAAAAATATAAAAATATCACAATTAATCAACATAATTTTCGCATTAAAGCTATTTATATTTTTCACATTTACCAAGTGTTCTATTTCCATAACAAAAACACCATGGCTTATGCCCCTTGCAATATGACGTCATTGGTGCCAATTGATAAACATTATGACGTCATCATGCTGTGTTAGAGCCGCTTCACGTGGTGTAGGTACAGGTGTGTGATTCTTGCGTCTCAGATGCCAGCTAGCATAGTGTTATGCTGAGTCACCACTGCGCCGGAGTGTGTCGTAGGCCATGTTGTTTTACCGCAAACTGGTACTTGATATCTTTTGCGTTGAGAATAGACAGGGACCCAGTTGAATTGGCACCAATTATGTCATAATCTAAGGGGGATAACTCAGGCCTGTTCAGCTCAAAAAACGAAGGCCTCATAACGGCATATCATTTTCACACTATTGTGAGCTTCCTACTTTCACTGTGAAAAAATGAGTGTATATTTTCAAACACAGATACTAACTAATTCTAAAATTGCGTTTTGTTTAGAAAAAGAAAGAAAGTAACTTTTGCGTGTACACTTCCCCTTTAACAGTATTCCAGTTATATCACGGTGTGTCAGCTTAATGTGGGAGGAAAGCTCGAAGTGATGCAGGTCTCAGACATTTACCACTTCGGTGAAACCCACGAGCATGGGTATGGTGCTGACAAACCTAGAAACATAATCGGGGCGAACCAGGAATAAATAAGTGGAAGGGAATTGACTCCATTGTATTTGATGGTAAGTGAATGTAAATAAATTTTGATGAAGGACTTATTCGTGTTCAAATAATAGAGAAATCTTTCCTGCAGACCGCTAAAACACATACAGTTGACACGCTATATCCTTAACCTATACCATATATATTCAGAAGTCTGTGCATTTCAAACTTTAATTACTGTAATGCGCTTTTTTAATTACTACATGTGCACATTTGTTCTTTCAGTTTGTGCTACAGACTGTAGTAATGAACATATGCCACACACTGCCAAAAATAGCCACTGACGGTCACCTGACTTCCTGCCTTACCCATAAGTAACCATGTGATAAAAACTCAATGATGATGTTTAACATTAACAAAATGGAAATTTCTAGAAAAGTGCACTTTGAAATATTGGTCATTACTGCAAGTAATATAATCATTTACGCCTATAGTTGTTTTCACTTTAAAAGTATTAGACTAGAACACCATGAACACATGCAGCCATTTTAATCGCGATATTTCGTGATTCCATTTCAAGTGGCAACAACAAAACATTACAACCAGTAATTGCTAATCATGATAACTGCTGTTACTGGTCGTTTGGCTGACAGAACATTAGTATTTTGTTTGTTCACTGAACATACATGAATAATCGCAGGTGTTACATTATCATCATCATCATCACGTGTTAAGTAAATAATTCTAGTAACCAGTATTCATAATGCAAATGATAAACATTTTAACTGACTCAACTGTGGAGTTTTGCACATGTGCCAGCCCAGTGTAAATTATTCAAATGAGACACTAATTCTATTCAGATGACAGCAGCACACAGACATACAACTGAGTACTTTCCTGAAATAAAATGTAACAGGTGAATACAGAACAAATGCAAACACTACTGATTAATAAGAGCAATTATCTAAATGTTGGTGATAACAGAGAGGTTTGACATACACCAACATCCTGCTCCTGGCCATTTACATTCCATCCCTCTTCTATTCCATATCATTCTGTATTTTTTGGATAGTTTATTTTAGAGAATAATAAAACAGCAACAACTCGGGCACATCTGCCAGGACACAGGTAGATCAAATACCCTAGTGATCAACAATCGCATTAAATTCCCTTGGATTTCAGTGTCATTTTATTGCAGAAACGCAATAATAACGTAATGAAAATATTGAATTAATTCCCTATATTCACATGATGTTACAGAATCCGGAGCCATATGTTTGCAGGAGTATTAATTCCTATTTCATTATCATACGATTTTTCTGATAATGGGCTTGGTATTCTTTTGTGACATTCATAATTCAGAGGTCATTCAGAGGTCATGATAGTGATGCAGCTCAAACCTACAATGAACCTCATCTCCAAGGCCTGACTTTCCCCTTTCGGGGGGTTTACCGATTTTGTTAGTGAAAAATGTGGCCACTAGGTCCCAAAAATCAATATATGCATTTGTAGCAGGGCGTGGAGTCATCCCACAGATGACATCCTTACCTTGTCAGATGGCTGACGGGGTTAACCTCTTTGGTCATGTGGTCAAGGCGTCCGACCTGTGGTCAGAAGGTCCATGGTTCGAATCCCAACACGGGAATCGAAAATTTTATGGCCGCTACATTGGCGCCCAATGTGGGGCTGAGCAGGTTCATATTAAATTTGAGCAAAATAAGCCTCAGTACCCTACTATGCGGCCCGGGACGTGCCTTCTGTTGATGGGGGAGTATGTACCAGGGCATGGAGTCATCCCACAGATGACATCCTTACCTCCTCAGCCTGTTGACGGGGTTAACCCCTTTAGTCATGTGGACAAGGCGTCCGACCTCGGATCAGAAGGTCTGTGGTTCGAATCCCATCACGAAACTCGGAAAATTTATGGCCGCTACACATTGTACAGGTTTTTTTAATCATCTTAAAGTTTGATTTGGATTGGTAATGCTATGATAATCTTTTAATTACAATTTGGCCTGATCTGGGTCCTAATGAAGCTAATATCTGACAGCAACATTTAAGTTTTATGGATTGTAGTTTTGACAGTTTAAGGTTTAAAAATTAAACAATAGTTATCATTGTTAATAATTCTAGGAATACTACCTCTATTACATCATAGCCAAATTCCTGTATTTTGGCTGCAATCATAATAAACTTGACTTTCAGATTTTTAACACAAGTCCTCTTCACTGTCAACTATACAACAAACAGTTGTTCCCGCAATAGCACTCAATCAGCCAAAAGTGCTCACGTACGTGAAGGCGGGAGAAACCTCACTTCTTTCCAAACATCAACCAACTTGAGGCAGACGCTTGGGGAGGTTGGGGGGAGTGCTTCTGATGTAATAGAGGTAGTATTCTTAGAATTCTTAACAATGATAACTATTGTTTGATAATTTTTATAAATCCTCTACCTCTATTACATCTTGCCAGAATATACCAGAGAGAAGGCAGGGTCTGCCTCTAGTACACTCCCTGTATTGTTGACACCAACTCCTATAACTTCCTGTGATTCCTGCATATAAATCTTGTTCAAATCAGAAGTACATCCATTGATTTACTTCTAGAGGACTTGAAAATTGTACAGTGGAATAATCAGTCAATATGTGATGCTGACG